TTCAAATTAGCAAATTAGTCAAACTGAAATATGCAGATGATCTTGTGTTAATGCCTAAGGAAGAAACTGTGCTACAGGGCATGATTGATAGACTAATTGAAATTGGAAGATGCTATGGCATGGAAATGAATGTGGAAAAAACAAAAGTAATGTAAATTTCAAGACAACCAACCCCAGTCACAATAAAGATAGACCAAAAACAACTGGAGAATGTGAAATGTTTTAAATATTTGGGTAGCTTGTTAACAGATGATGGAAGGTGTACGTGTGAAATTAGATCCAGGATTGCCATGGCAAAAGCTGCATTTAACAAGAAGAAGATCCTTTTTACCAGCAAATTGGACTTAAATTTGAGGAAGAAACTAGTCAAATGCTACATATGGAGCATAGCTCTGTATGGGGCTGAAACATGGACACTTAGGGCAGTAGATCAGAAACATCTGGAAAGTTTCGAAATGTGGTGTTGGAGAAAGATGGAGAAGATCAATTGGACTGATTATGTGAGAAATGAAGAAGTGTTAATTAGAGTCAGTGAGCAGAGGAATATCCTACACGAAATAAGAAGATGGAAGGCTAATTGTATTGGTCATATCTTATGCTGTAAATGCCTTCTAAAAGAAGTTATTGAAGGAAAGATAGAGGGGCAGATAGAAGTGACCAGAAGACGAGGAAGAAGACGTAAGAAGATGCTGGACGACCTTGGGGACAGAAGAGGATATTCTCATTTGAAGGAGAAAGCTCTAGATCGCATTAAGTGGAGGAACTGTTTTGGAAGAGACTGTGGACCTGTCGTCTTGACAGATTACTGATGAATGAATGACAGGACAGATACAAATTGCTTTCTTGATTTTTACATTTCATAAAAGGTAACGAAATTGAAACTTTTGATGATATGAAATTTAAAACTGATCAGATACTGAGACACCTAAATATCAAATCTAACAACCTCTACAATTGGAAGGAAAATATATCCCATGATGAATCCCTGATTCTGTGGAAGTGCAGACTGGGATACAAGCAGTACATTTCTTGAAGGCAACCAAGTTTTGAATAATATCCTTCTTCACCTATCAGACAACTTTGCAAATTTATTACATTCAGCGCAATCACAACAGATTAGACAAGCAGTGTTGTCCCAGACTACAGTGTCAAAACAAGCAAGATAATTGTAAACTTGGTGGAACAACTTTTCAGCAGAGGGCACATACTATGAATGAATAATTTCTATAATTCTCCAGATCTCTGTCTCCTACAGAAAAATGGTGTAAATGTTGCTGGGACACTGCAACTGAATGGGAAGAATGTTCCTCCGGCTGTATAGGCAAAATTGAAACAGGACAGAGCCAAGGAGTGACAGTGATGGTGGCGTTTTTCAAGAAAGAAAGAGACCTACACAAACCAGGAGTTATACAGGAACATAATTCGTTTATGGGAAGAGTAGATTTTAAGGTGAAAAACTTACAACTAGGAGAAGCATATAGTGGCGCACACAAAATTTCTCAAGAGGCTGCTGAAAACTTTGGTACATATTGCCTCTGTGCTCCACAGAGAAAACCAGAATGCAAACAAAATAAACTACCTGGCTTTAGACTTCCAGTAATAAATGTATTATTAGGAGCACACAGAAAGGCTTTAGAACCTCATCCTGAATGGTCATCAAAGAGACCAATACATGAAATACTGAGCGCAAGATATTTTGTAGAAGGGATACCCCCATCTCAGAAGAGGGCCAAGCATGCTGCCAGGCAAGTGGAAAAAGAAAATAGAGGTCATTTAGGTGTAGGGCCTGTGGAGTAGCTTCAAGCATTTAGGTTGCAAGAGGTACCATGCCAAAGCCACTTTCTAAAATAACACTGGGTAAGATCTTATGAAAACGATTATACTGCATGAAATTTTAGACAATCTGTAATTCCTCCTTAAATTCACTTTGGTAATTACTAAAATACATAATAATGAAATGATGCTGTCAGAAAAGTCTGCTACTGGGCCATTTAAATACCACTGCAGTGTACAACTAGTAGAGGTTCAAATGTTAGGTTGAGGGTTTAAACTAAACTATAAAATATTTTTCATATTCAGCATCATGTTTTACCTAAGGTAAAAGCAGCAAGACCTGTAAAAAGAGCTCTTGTCATACATTCTAGATATGATCCAAAACCAGGATGAATTTCGCTTTGCTGTTTCTTCAGTTCATTTACATTCTCCATTGTGCACACCTCCTTGTCACACCACCTTAATTACACTTCATTCTCCATATTAGCCTTATTTTTTCAACAGGAGATATCTGAAATATAAGAAGTTGTTGAAAATGCTGTACTTCGAACATTTCATGTTACTTATATTCATACTGCTTGTGGACAGGAGAGTGTTTCACAGATTGAACACTTACTGCATACAAAGCATGACTAACCTTCAGCATACAATAACCAAATTCTCCCTTGTACCATATAATCCTGAAGTAGGTTATGATCCTACACCATGAAATTTTATGACATCTTAACTTGTCCCTTGCACTGCATAAAACTGAAGATAGAGGATGGTTATACATTCCAGAATTTGAAGATACTTGGTTTCAATAAAGGTTTGGTTAGGTTAGAACAGTTTTCATTATAATGTTATATTTTAGCGTCCTGTTGCACTGATTTTCATCCATGATATGTATACAGTGGCCGTCTTTTAGTGCACTCAATTTCACCTGTCACTTCACAACATGTTTCGGCAACATAGTGTCATCATCAGGTGTCCCAATTACGTCAATCTATTGCACTGCTTGCCCTCATATGTTTTCACAACACCATTTAAAAAGTATTTTAAAAGTCTGTATTTGTCAACTACGATAAGTTTACACTCGCTAAAACTTGTTAAGATAATTCATCTTATTTGTCTTAATTAAATCTTGCATGTGGTTCGTTCACTACGGGGTCGTTTTTCTTATTTTCTGTGTAAACTGCATCTTGTGATGTGTGTTTCCTTCTTAGCTGCGAGTGTTGTATGTTTAGCGAGTGTAAATTTATCATAGTTGACAAATACAGACTTTTTAAATGGTGTGAAAACATATGAGGGCAAGCAATGCAATAGATTGACGTAATTGGGACACCTGATGATGACACTATGTTGCCGAAACATGTTGTGAAGTGACAGGTGAAACTGAGTGCACTAAAAGACGGCCACTGTATACATATCATGGATGAGTTTTCATTATGTTTGGTTAGCATTTTAGTTAGGATTTTTTATTAATTTTGATTGCATGTGGGGACTGTTGTAGTTAAGGTTTCAGTATGTGAGTCTTCCCCACAGTATATCAAAGCAAGAACATTACACATGCTCTTGCCATCACATTCTTAAGGTGTTCCAAAAAATGCACTTTATAACCTGATGTTAATTTATTGTATTTAATACAGATAATATTTCTTATATTCCTCTCAACACAACACTATTTCCAGCAGGCAAAGTTTGCTACCTATGGCATGTCTTGGCATGTGTGCCATAGTCAGGTTCAGTACATATGCTTAAACATGTTGTCCTAGACAACAAACTCTGCTGCTGCAAAGAGTGTTGCGTTGACAGAAATATAATAATTATCTATAGTGATTTACAAAACAGGATGCAATAAAATATGAGGATATTTAGTATTTCCTAGGCTGCTGTGTTCTTTGCAGTTACATATGGAAATGGAAAGCAAATCACATAAATACACTGACTTTTCACTCTATGGTAACTGCTATTAACAAAGGAAGCTTTGTGAATATACAAGAAGTGTGTGCATAAAAAGTGATTCTTTGATATCAAGCATGACTTCTAACTATATATTTCTATGCTGCAGTCAGTAATACATCACTGGCAGTGGATACTTCATATTAAGTCACCTTCAAACAATAAGATCTACTTCTTTTGCCTAATAATGTTAATAGTTCATGTGAACAATTTGTGCTCTGCATTCAGCCTAATAAGTTAAATCTGATTTCACTAACATCTCACTGGGTTAAAATTAGTTTTCCTATATTCAGCTGTTCTGAACCTTATACACAATCTGCTATAAGTTTCTAACACCAGCAGAACTCTGAGATGAAGCTCACATCAGCTGACACATTCATGTCCCTAGTTCTACAAAAATAGTATTAAAATACGCTGAATGCCTTTGAACAGCTCAATGGCTCAGCTCAGTTTGGCTTAATGTTGGACAGGGAGAGCCGAAAGGGACTGTATTAGGACCTTCGTCATTTCTCTTATATATAAATGACTTGCCTAAAATATTAAATAAATTTTCTACACATAATTTTTGCTGATTATACTAGCATCTTATTTTCAAATTCCAATATAAATGATCTTAACATGAATATTCTTATAACAACTGAAATCTTAAATGGATGGTTTAGAGCTAATAAATCATCTTTACACTTTAACAAGACACACTGTATTCAATTTAAAACTAGGACAGTAATGTCAGATACTTTTGCAATAAATCAAAATAATAAGTTTATTGACAGTACCCTCAGTACTAAATTCTTGGGAGTTATATTTGATAGTGCCTTAACATGGAAGAATAATATTCATTTACTTGAAAAAAAATTAAATAAGGTTTGTTACGTAATTAGAAATATGAAATATTATATGTCTATTTCAGCTCTAGAGGTAATCTATTATTCCTTTTTTCACTCCTAAATGAGCTATGGTATCATCTTTTGGGGAAACTCATTTCATAGTTCTACTACTTTTGTTCTCCAAAAAAGGCTATCAGAGCAATGTTGGGATATGGCAATAGAGTTTCATGTAGAAACATATTTAAACAGTTAAATATTTTATCATTTTCATCACAATATATATTTTTGTTGTTAGTGTTTGTATTGCAAAATAAAGTTCTTTTTCCATCAAACATTGATTCTAATACTATTAATACCAGACAAAGACAAGATTTGTATCTACCTCATGGTTTGAATACAAGAAATCGAAAGCAATTATATTTGCCAAACTCGAATCTGTCTGCTTTTCAGAAAGGTACTATGTTTACTGCCATTACACTATTCAACAGATTGCCCATAACCATTCAAAGCCTTAAAGAGGATAGAATTAGTTTTAAAAATAGGCTGTTTTTATATCTTATGAATAATTCCTTTTCAGTTTCTGAATATGTGGAGCATAACATAAACAATTAGTCTTAATTATCTTGTTGTCTGTGTGTTTGTTTAAATTTGTTTTTATATCTTATGAATAATTCCTTTTATAAAGTTTCTGAATATGTGAAGCATAACATAGGCAATTGGTTTTAATTATTTTGTTATCTGTGTGTTTGTTTTAATTTTTGTAGGACGACCTTCATGTCCATTTGTTTGGACTTGTGAAGTGAAATGTAATGTATGAATGTATGTATGTATGTATAAGCCACAAAAACAAAACAACTCGATCCAGTGTGATCATTGAAGATTTTACTACTTGAAAACTTGACACCCTTACATGTTTCAGTCTCTATAGACCATCATCAGAGGGAACATCAATACTTTTTTGGAAACTACTATCACAATAGGTGTTTTGAGTGTTAAAATACATAGACATACATTGTTTGTAATGCACAATATATACAAAATCCAACTTTTCCACAACTACAGTAGCTTTCCTGGTATACTAAGGTTTTTAAAACTTTGTTATTTAAGTTAAAATTTATAAACCAAGTAGATTCATGTCCCTTCTCCTATCGTCTTTTTTGATGGGGGCTGAACTTGTGCCGCCTGTCTATCTTGAGAAGGGGATTCTTGGTATCGTCCTGTGATTGTTCATGGCGTGCTGTGCTGTTTAGTGTGACAGACCAGAATGAAACAAGCTAATTTAACTATTTATCAAAATGGAGTTTATTATGCAGGTATAAAAATATTTAATAAATTGCCCATAGAGATCAAGAACACATCGAATAATTTTAAAAATTTTATGGTTGTATTAAGGCATTTCTTGAACACTCACACATTTTATAGTGTGGATGAATATCTAAATTGATAACTTTTATTATTGTTGTATTCACTGTACTGTCTAGTTGTGTAATAACTATGTATTGTATGCTCTATATTATTTTATGACATGTTCTATATCCATTTTTGGATCTCTTGAACTTACAATAAATACAAATACAAACAATTAATAAAATTACATTATTACATAATTCTTGAAACGCAAGTATTACATTTCCTTTGTACACTATGCTGACATACAGTCCATGGTTTACTTTTGGGGCAAAACGTTATATTAAATTATTAACACAGTCAGTGAGGTTAGAATTCTTTGAAAGCCAAAAATGTAATTTCTTTGGGCAGTATTTGACACTCAATAAATTTGTGTGTGTGGGTGAGAGGGCACATACAAGGTCCATAACTTAGTTTCCAACGCTAATATACTAAATAGCAGCACAACCCGTGAGGTTTGGTCCCGCTCAATAACTCCACAATGCACACTGGAAATCACAAGGATCACAAGCGCTTAGAAGGCAGTGGTGGTTCTGTTTTACAGTTTATTTAACGATACCTTCGTTGACTCGGACTGCATAACGTAAATTGATTAACGGACGACGAATTGTAACGGCTCTGAACGATGCCCTAGTGTCCTAATTTGAAGTACTATCGAGGTATTCGCCTTTATGAACTGCAAAATATTGCGAAAACGCTCAGTCAGCATAAATGGTATTTCGACGATTCGAACCACGCAACCCCTGAATACAAGTCACACGTGTTACAAGCCTAGGTCAACGTCGTCAACATGCTCACTGTTAAACAACACTCCCCCTCACTACCGCTCACTACTTCACCACCTGTATCAACCGCTCACTGTTAAACAATACTCACTACCCGCTCACTACTTCACCATCTGTATCAACCGGTCTCAACATTCGCCTACCAACCAAGAGAAAAATCAGACAATTGCACATGCTCGACCAACACTGAAGGTAAAGCGATAGTACAGTCGTTATTGCAACGATCGCAACTGGCTACGGGCTGGACAATCCATGGACCGAGTTAGTCCCGGTGGGGCAAAAATTTTCACTTCTCCATGTCGTCCACACGTCCAGACCGAGATCGGCTCTTGGGCTCACCCAACCACCTGTCGAATACTTACTGGGACTGGGGACCCTGCAGACCAGCACGTCTACATCCAAGTCTCCAGGGTCTCCAGTGTTCCTAAGCCAAGGAAGAAAGAAC